AAAAGAGGGGTTGTGCTCTTCGAAGTTCTGGCCGGCTCCCTAGATTGTCATTACCCTTGAATTTCAAATTTACTCCATGTAATGTAGCGAGTGCATAGAGATAAGCTCTGGATACCTTTTGCTCTGTTTTTACTAAACTAAACTCAACCGTGCAGTATTATCTAGTTATACTCCCTCCGTCCCAAAGTATTTGCTACATTTGTATTTCCGAGGCAAAATATCAAGTTTTTTCAATTCATTTTATTTACATATTGGTATAGAAATAAAAATAAAATTTACATTTAAAAAACTACATGAAAAGTTCTTCGAAATAAGAGGTGTAAAAAATATTTTATTTTATCAAATAATCAATGAAAACGTCGAAATAAACAAAAGTTCTCGCGACTGCTGAAAAGCAAATGTTGTGAATATTTAGGGACGGAGGGAGTATATGTCTAGACAAGCTAAGTATAAAACTTTTACTCTTTTTTTTAAATGTGGGCACCGGTGTTATGCTTTTAGAAATGGGGAGTTCAGTGGCAGATTATAGAGTTTCTTGACATTTGACTTTTTTGGAAATTATATATGCATTAACATGTGTGATATGTAACATTATACATGGGCATATATGTCATTATACATTGTCTTGTGTGGCATTCTACATTATCATGTTTGGCATTATCTAGATGAGCCGACTATGAATAGTAAAGTCTCCCTAGATGAGGCGGTGCACAATCAGCTATGAGTGATACAATGACATATTTGTTCTTAATAAGTGCTATATTTGGCATTTTGCTTCTCTGACATCATATAGTGGCATATTTGTGCTTATTAATGGCTATGTTTGGCATTATAGATTGTAATATTTGATATTGTGGTATTGTTGCATTGTATTAAGAATATTTTTTCTTGACAGTCATGATAAGACCATATTACTGCATACAACGACAATGGCTGATCCCGGTGGTGTTGGCAGCGAAGGAGGCGAGCTTGGTGATGTAGGAAATTATCGGCAACACTCGATTCCACGGTGCGGGGCGCAGCGGTAGGCCATGGGTAAATGCCAGTGGTGTTGGCGGCAACGGTGGCATATTTGGTGATGTGAGAAATCACTAACAATAATATATTGCACGCGGAGGGGGTGTGGATGCAGTTCTTGGTAACAATGACGGTGGGTCGGCGGCAATAGTGATCGTTGCACATTTTTATGCTAGATTGTTGGTTGCAAGCATAAAACAACCTTCCGTCACCATCTTTACTTGTGACAACGTAAACACAAGAATATTGCTAAAAACTGAGTAAGAGATTAGCATGAAGGGAGTACGTGAGAAGATTAATTAGATTCTTTTAATTTATTAAATTTATTTCGATTCATTGGTGGGGATTACTATTTATTGCATGTAGCATTAACGTTTGAAAGATGGACTTGCTCTAACAAATTAAATTTATTAAGTGTGTGTGTGTATATATATATATATGTATATGTGTATATATGTGTGTTTGTGTATATATATATATGTATATGTATATATGTATATTGAGCCGGGGGTCTCTTTGGAAACAACCTCTCTACTTTCGAGTAGGGGCAAGGTCTGCGTACACACACCCTCCCCAGACCCTACTTTTGTGAGATTTACCTGGGTTGTTGTTGTTGTTTGTTGTATATATGTGTCATGTGTGTGTGTACAAATATATTTATAACTAAAAATGTTTCAAAAAAATAGAAGAAGAAAGGGTATCTTGTGTTCTATTACTTTCTTTGTGTAGATGAGGAATGAAGATGTTATCTTCATCCCATTTTTGCAGATGCAGATTGCTTCCGATCCCATTCATAAGGTTTCTCATGCTTTGAATGACATTGAATTTGTCTCATGTCATACCACAAAAGATTGCATGCCACATGTTTGTCAAAATGCCCCAAAGATGTCTATGCTGGAAGCTATTTGAAACCTTCTTATTTCAGATATTTTTTTTTTATTAAAGATTTAATACACAAAGAATGCATACGCACATTTGGCGTTAACTACTGGTGCATATGCGTTTTTATCTTAGAGTGCATTTTTATTGATGTGTGTTATTTGCACTTTTATTCTTAGGGAATGACCATTAAATTATATTTCTAAACACTGTTAATGGTACCATGTAGTATATCATCAAGATCCTCAGATGACACAAATGATGTTTGAAGCTTTGACACGATTGGAAGGCATTACGAAGGTGGAGCTTTTCTCTATTAGCTAATAATGGATGGTGGTTGATGAGTCCACCATGGTCATTCGTATCTTGGATTAGTCTGTGAAGATTGTAGTTTGTAATTAGACGTATGGCATCTCGAAGTGGTGTATGGGAGTTAGTTTTTGGTTTTCCTTTTTTTTTTTTTGAGGAATTTGAGTAACTAATTCATATACTGAAATTTTAGTAGCATTCTTATGTTCTAAATTATTATCCTTGTCACTGTGCCACCACCATTATTTATTAAAAAAAAACTTTAGGGGCTGTTTGTTTCAGCCTCTTAATGGTTCAGATGTCTGAATGGTTAAGAGATTTGCCTCTGAATGGTTAAGTATTATACAGAGTCTGAATGGTTAAGACCTCTTATCTGAATTGATCAGACATTTGCCTCTGAATAGTTAAGCAATATACTACTCGTAGCTCTTAATGGTTGAGACCTCTTACTGGTTCAGCACTTAATGGTTCACACCTCTTACTAGTTCAACACTTACCTCTTGAGTGAGTGGTTGAGCCATCCCAATCCCAAGCGGAGACGAAGGGCAGCTTGGAACACAAATACTCTGATAGAGGAACATGGTGTGTACTATTCCTAATACTCCAATAAAGGAACATGGTGTGTACTATTCCTAATACTCCAATAACCCAGCTCTCTACGTATGAATCTCTAATTTTACTTGATCTTTCAAAAATAATATCAAATTTCACTTGATCTCTAATTTCAATCTCTAATTTTACTTGATCTCTAATTTCAATCTCGGAAAAACTATTCAGAATAATCTCAATTTTACTTGATCTTTCGAAAATAATATCACATTTCACTGTGATGCATAATAATTCCAAATTTATTGAAATTTGCAAGTTTTGGATTGTCGTTAAGTTGCTAACAGTGGGTTAATGGAAACGACATGTTTTGTGCAACAAAATGATGAAAGTTGAGATTATCTTCGATGAATTTTCAATTTTTTTGAAATTTTAATTTAAATTTTTAAAATTACTTTCTACCTCCATAGTTTCTTTTTCTTTTTATAAAGATTAGTCTTACTTTATAAAAATAAAATAATAGATATAAAAATAACAAAAATGAGAAATGTAACGAAAACGATACAATATCAATCAAATAAATAATGTAATCAATAGAAACTCACTTGAAACTAATAGAAATAAAATAAAAAACTCTACGAAGTGGTGGGTTTGAATATTTTAGGCGCTATACAAAGTATTAATATACCACTTCTTCTTTTTTTAAAAAAAATTATTTCAAATAATTCCAACTTTATCGGCCGCCTCTTCTTTCAAAAAATAAGTAGTACATTAAGATTCTGTATATTGCGTAAAGTGTTAAAACCCACCACTTCGTATATTTTTTTTCTATTTCTTACCTGTTTCAGTTTAGTTTCTATTGATGACTTTATTTCTTTCATTAATTTTGTATGGTTTTAGTTATTTTTCTCATTTTTATTATTTTTTATATCTATTTTTTTCATTTTTTCTAAGGTAAGATTGACCTTTAAAAAAAAAGAAAAAGAAATGGAGGTAAAAAGTAATTTAAAATTTTTAAATAAAAAATAATCAAAAATAATCACAACTTTCATTTTGTTGCGCAAAACAGACATTTTAGTTAACTCGACATTAGCAAGTTAACGGCGACAGAAAACTCGCTAACTTTAGAAAAAGTTGGGATAATTATGTATCACAGTGAAAAATGAGATTATTTTTGAAAGATCAGTTAAAGTTGGGATTATTTTTGATAATTTTTTCTTCAATCTTTAGATAATTGATGTTTTTTTAAAAAAAAAAATTAATAATGTCTCATTTGAGTGATTTCTTCTTCTTCTTTGAGATTTAAATTTTAATATCTATTTAGAATGATGAATGAATTGCTAATTGATAGAAAAAATCATTTTTCTTTTGATTTTTTCTCTTTTCTATAAAGAATTATTATTATTATTATTATCATCATCATCATCATCATCATCATCATCATCATCATCATCATCATCATCATCATCATCATCATTATTGTTATTATTATTATTATTATTATCATTATTACTATCATTATTATTTTTAAAAATGAAAAAGAATAAACTTTAGAAACAAGTTAAATAGAAAACTGAGAAAGTAATCTTTAAATATTAGACGTCGGAAAAATTATCTTTAAAATACATTGACAATGTGAATCTAATTCTACTTTTAAAATACATTTTTATTGTTACTTGTAATTTGAGTTTCTAAAGTTTTGATCTTTTGTTAGGATGAGATATTTTAATAAAAATACTATTTCTTCTATATATTGATTATCTAAATTTAATTACATTTTAATGTATATATAAATTAAATATTTATTCTAATGTATATATGAAGTAATTATTAAAATATTAAATTAATATTCTAATTTCACAAAAAAATTATCATAAAATAAAAAATATTATTACATTATAATATGAATGATTATTCTAATATATGAATTAACAAATTTTATTTTATTAAAAAATAATCATAAAATAAAAAAACATTGATTATACTCCGTATTATAATATGAATTATCATTACAAGGGTATTTTTGGAAAGTCAACACAAAATTATCTCTCTCTTATTTTACCACTTTAGCCAATATGTCTCTCTCTTTCTGGGACGGATGGAATACAATAAGGATGTCTCTTTTTATATATTTTGCATTAGTTTTTTTTTTTTTAAAATAATTTTGTGTTATTAATGCTTAATTATTTCCAATTTGATTGAGGTCGATTCACAATATTCACCGCCAAGAAAATAATTTAGAGTCAACTATATAGTACTCTAATTTCTTTACCAAATATTATATAAAAAAATTATTCGGAACTGGTTCTGAACTGGCACACAATATAGATAGCTGATATAGCTCTGTGTTACAAACACACATATGTGGTAATATAATAAACTCGTCAAAGATAAAGTTTTTTCAACCATAAAAACACCCCAGAGGCCAACTCTTTTGTAGAGTGGTTTTCAAGAAATTATATTAAAGCTGGGATTGCATCCACCTCTGAAGCATTTCCAGGGATGCCTTAGGCTGGTCCATTGGAACCAGGTGGCCTGCATCATGAACCTTAAGAAAAGCCAATGCTCCATAGCTCTTCATCGTCCCCTTCTCCTCTCCATCCACAACAAAGCTCGTGTTCGGGGCTCCCGCAAACCCCCTCTTCCCCGACCACTCCAAAGCTTCTACCCATCTCGAGTTTCCTGTTTGTTTTCACAGTTGATAGAATTTAAAATGGGGTAGGGATTACTTGGACGGGGCTATAAGACACTTGGGTCGAACCCCATTAAAAGATTTAATCCAATTGATTAGTTAGTTCAACTCAAGAGCTTATATAACGATTATTTTACTCTTGGACTTCCGATGTGGGATGGCACTCTGACAACATTGATTCGTTATTATTGCACACTTTGTTTATTACTTCTAAAAAGTGAAAATCATGGCACACAAACTTACTTACCCAGCCAGTTGCAAATAAAGTCATATTCTCCAGCATAAACCAGCAGTTTGATGCCGTCTTCAAGGAGAAGTGGGATGCGGTGTGATTGATCTTTAAACCAGTCCGAAGCCATTGCATCAAACACGGTCTCACTACACGAAACAAAATCGATGTGCTCATTAACTCCAAGAGCCCTTTTTACACTCGTGTCGTTGAGGAGAGTCTCTACGCCTGAAAAGTCGTAACAGAGCGACGAAAACCCTCCTTCACAAGTCTTCCTGATATCGTAACGCTGCATGTATACATACACACATATATGTTATTTATAATTATAATGATCATGCACGTAACACGTCAAGGACGTACAAAATCGATAAATATAATAATAGGATGGATTTTGTACATACATTTTTATTTCCCATATTTTTCTTGATGAGATAGTAGATATCTTTGCATTTATAGGCCGAAAGGCAAGATTTTCCGCCATCCATATTCTTGTTACACTGTCTTACAACTTCTTGGCAGCCGGGAACCAAAAGGGTTAGGTTATGATAGAGAGACTCTGTGATGAGTTTTTGGGTAAGGGCAAAGTCAGGGTAGGCTGCATACTGCAATTCAGGGTTGGTCATTCCATTGCCTATGGCCATTCCCTTGAGGTTTATGCGAATGCCTTGTTTCATCTTGTTTGCTTGATGAATTCGGGAGGCCAGTGCGGGGATGTAATGCCCCGCGTAGGATTCGCCCGTTATGTAGAACTCGTTCTTCGCAAACTCAGGGTGAGCCTTCAAAAACTCCTACCACACATCCATGCATACATTGATCAACACTTTGGTTAATTAGCTTCCAATAACACTATAGTTCATTTTAAGACCCGATCGACTAGTTCCCGTTCGCTCCGAGAGGCAAGGGAGCTGGTCCAAGCTAAGAAGAATTATCATCTGTGGGATTCGAACATGGGGTTTTCTTCCCACATGAAAGCTCCTTTGCCACTTGAGCTACCTCTTTAGGTTAGTACGATGAGCGTATTTACAAAAAGAGGAATGTGGAGTATATATTAAAGCCCAAAAATTACCGGAAATGCTTTATAATTACCATATACTCTCAAAATCTTTTTTTCTTTTTTTATGGCTAAACTCCACCATTAGTCCTTCAACTTTATCAATTGTGCACGATTGGTCCTTCAAGTTTTAAAAGTCCATAAATAGTCCTTCAACTTTATGGGTTATGCATGATTGGTCCTTCAAGTTTTAAAAGTGCATAAGTAGTCTTTCAAGTACACATCAGCCCTCCAGATGAGGTCCTTTTGACAATAAATGTTAAAAGCTAAATGGAATACTAGCTCCATATAATACGGAGTAGTCGTACCTAGTGGAATTTACTCGTATTATATGAAACTAGTATTTCGTTTAACTTTCAATATTTACTGTCAAAAGGAGGAGGGCTGAGGTGTACCTGAAGGACTAGTTATGGACTTTTGAAACTTGAAGGACCAATGGTGCAGAACTCATAAAGTTGAAGGATTATTTATGGACTTTTGAAACTTGAAGGATCAATCGTACACAACTCATAAAGTTGAAGGACCAGTGGTGGATTTTAGCCTTTTTTTATAGAAATTGAATGCATAATGTTAGTTAATTAATTATGTAACCATGTAGGTATGTAGGGTATGAAGGGGATATTATTACTTATGATGTAAATCAAAGGGTACAATAAATTTTAGTTTGCAGACCTGTAAAAATGCATAGAGGTCTTTGCTAATGCCATTTTCATCGTGTCGAATGTCCTCTGGGCTAGAACTATAGCTGAATCCAGTTCCCGTTGGTTGATCAATGTAGATAATGTTGGAAACCTACCCAAAAAAATGTCACGAGCCATACCTTTCCCAATTCAATCAAATCATGTACTCCTTTCTGTCTCCAAACAATCGTCATTTTCGAATAATGCGTAAAACTTTATCCCTTTTAAAATAAATTTATTTATGATATAGCATATAAATAAAAAAATACATCTTGCATATTCAAAAACTAGTAAACTACATCAAAAATTTTGCAAAACAAGTGATGACATGCCTAATTTATTAAATGATCAATGAAAAGGCATATGCGGACAAAAGTTATCTGAAGCCTGAAATAGTAAAGAGACCAACTTTTACTCTCACCGTCCCACAAAACCTTTCTTCTTTGTTTTTTCATCCGTCTCAAAAAATCTTTCTCATTTGTATTTAAAGTTACTCTTAACCTTACTAATTATTAATTTCCCTATCACGTCACACATTTTCATTATTAATCTACTCAGCTCATCCTACTTTACACATCGCATCCAAGGGCATTTTTGAAAAGTGAACACTAAAATACATTTCTCTTAGATCCTTTCGAAATCAAAACTAGAAATGTGGAAGGGAGGGAGTAATATAAATTGATGAGTATCATGTAGGTGATAATGAGATGAGAGATGGATGAATGAAGAATACCTTGTCCCAACCATAATAATTCCATACGTGACATGTTTTTAGCAATTTGAAAAGGCCCATTCTCGTAAAACAAAGCCAATGCACTACTGCATCCCGGCCCACCACTCAACCATATTACCAATGGTTGACTCTGGTTGGTTCTTGATTCAAAGAAATAGTAGAACATCCTGCTAGTCCATAACAAAAACCATTGTTCCACATGAACATTTCCACCTTAAAAAAATGTTGGTTCTAAGGGATGTGTAATTTTAGTGTTAGTTTCGTATTTTATCTTTATTTTATACCCTCTCCATCCAAAAATAATACTCCCTTCGTCCTCAAATAAACTTCTTTTTTTGGCTTTTTAAGGATTTAAGGGAGGGATATTTTTGTGTTGACTTTCCAAAAATACCCTTGATACGATGTGTAAAAGTAAGATGTGATATGTAGATTAGTAGTAAAAACGTATGATGTGATAGGTAGGGTATGAAAAAGTAAGGGTAACAGGAGTTTTTAAGGAAAAAGAGAAGTTTATTTGGAGACAAAGAAAAAATGAAAGGAGAAATTTATTTGGGGACGGAGGGAGCAATTTCAATCACTATTGACGTGGTCAAATTAAACTTTATATCCTTTGTTGGTTCATTTTCGATGCTCATTTGATAAAATAATACTCCATCCGTTCTCAAAAATTCTTCTTTTTTCATTTTTTACTTCCAATAAAACACTTCCACTTTCTATTCCAATAAAAAAAACTACTTTTACCCTTACTTTTTCATACCCTACCTATCACATCATATTTTTTCTCTAATACTCAATCCATCACATCTTACTTTTACCAATCACATCAAGGGCAAAATTGGAAGTCAACTACAATTTAACACTTCTTTATTTTTACACAAAATCTAAACAGGAACACTTTTATAGAACGGATGGAGTATATAATTATGTCTCATCTAATTTTGTATACCTTTTGAAATAGTTTTTTAAATATCTAATTTTTATTTTTCAATTAAACACCAATTTTCCTATAAAATGATTTGAAACACTAGTACAAAAACGAGCAAATGGATTGCCCAATCTGAACCGCTTACGTAAAAAACAATTCAAATGGGTCTTAACTTTCGCCAACTGTTTAGTTTTTGCATTGGTTATTACTAATAACTAATGCAAATACCTTTTGCATCGGTTATATCATTTTCTTTTATCTAATGATCAATGTTATATCAAGTTCTATTCCTATAGTCCAAGTCTCAAATTAAGTGAAATTATTATATTCTTTTATCTAATTATCAATAAGACTACCAAGTTTTTTAAAAAAATAATGCGAGTAACAAAACTCATGCGTACCTTGCATCGGTGGTGTTTGGGAGCTTAAAATAACCAACATGCTGACGACCCAAGCTTTGAATAAGAGGATCATCAACAAGAGAATCAATTTTAAAGACTTTCTCGACTAGCGTGGCCTGTTCGTATGAATCGAACCGGCCGGCTAGAGAGGGACCCGATGGACCCCAATTGAATTTGTGCGAAGGGGATAAATTGAGTCCCTTGATCATGTTCTCGGCTTCTCGCATAGCCGCCGTTGAGGTGACCATATTAGCTCCATTTGCCGCTTCTTGTCGGGCGGGACAACAAACTAAAACCAGAGCCACTACCACTGGCCACCACATAAACGAAGTTTGTGCCATTATATAATGGCTACTCTATATGTTTTGGAGCTAGCTAGTGACAAAGATATTGAAGTGTGGCCTGAATATTTATAGGGAAAAATAATCTGTCAAGAAACACCAGAGGTTTGACAACAAGTGTTTCACACTATCAAGAAAAAAGAAAAAAAAAACAGTCCGCGAAAATGAAGGATAATATGAATGGAGGTCACACAAAGGCATCACCAATGGGACTCAAAGAAAAAGAAAACAAAGACCCAGTGAAGGAAAAATGGAAAATTTATCCTTCTTTAATTTGCTTTTGGCCAATCTACGCGGTAAATCTATTCGAGTTAATGGGATTTTACCGTAGACCACATAAAGCGGATTGCCTAAGCCAATGGAGTGCGAGTGCGGGATCGCGAATGCGTCAAAAATCAAAATATGATGAGTGCAGGTACGACTGAAATCGTTCGTAAAAAAATCTCATGTATACACGTATGGAAAATGCTAGGGTGCCACCACATGGGTGCTACCATGGGTGCACCCATGCTTCGCACAGACGATAATTGTCTATGTGTTACCCTAGCATGGTCCATACACGTATATAGACGCACACACACGCGTCTGCAAGTTTTTTCTCCTTTTAGTCCAATTGTATTTTACTTTATTTTAAGAAAAAAAGTACTCCCTTCGTTCTCAAAAACACTTCCCCTTTCGTTTTTTCACTTCCAACAAAACACTTTCACTTTCTATTGAAAAACCACTTTTACCCTTACTTTTTCATACCCTACCTATCACATCATATTTTATCTCTAAGAATCTATCCATCACATCTTACTTTTACACATCACATCAAGGACAAAATTAGAAGTCAACTACAATTTAATACTTCCTTATTTTTACACAAAGTCAAAAGATGAACACTTTTTTCAAACGGATGGAGTATATAGTTCATAGAGTTTATTAATACGGCCCTACTCTTTAAATAACACAAAAATAAGTTTAGTTTTAACTTAGTGGCTTTAATGAAAAAGTTGAGACATAATGAAAATGCATATATATATGTTCTTATTTTGTTTCTTTGCTCGAAAGAGAACTAGCTTCTCCTGTTGAAATCTCACAAAGTTAAGATTATATTTAGAATATATTATTTACTAAAAATATTATTATCATTGCTCAAAAGTATTTTTCGATTATGAGTTTTTAGAGTCAAATTGCATAAATATTTCAAAGTATGGAAGAGATGATTTATGTATTCGTTCATTCATTTATGTATATGTGTTGAGGAATTGATGCGAGTCTCGACCTCTTTCCTCGATTCAGACAACCAAACTCTTGTACACTCACACACACTCAATAATACAAAGAAACGATTTTAGAAAATGACTTTGTATTATGTAGAGGAAATGTATAAGAGAGATTACAATTACACGGGTAGTACACTTCACTCTTTGTATTAGGAACACTTCTCTACACCTCACTCACAAGGACTCTCAAGAAGCCTTGTTGGTTCTTCACTCTCTTCTTCCTCCACACTCATTGCCAAATGAGGCATCCACACCCCTATTTATACTCCTCACCAAGGCTAGGCTTCTCTAGAATGTTCCACACATCTCTTTATCTCTAGAATCTTCTAGAAAGTCTCCGCATGCTTCCATAATGTTCTAGAAGAATCTAGAGGACTCCACATAGTTCTAGAATATTCTAGAGAACACTACATTCTTCCACACGCTTCTAGAGACTTCCACACTTCTCTAGAAAGCTCTAGAATATTCTAGAAACTTTTAGGCTATTCTACACATTTCTAGGGACTTCAACACTTTTCTAGAAAATTCCACAACATTCTAGAGAATTCTACAAATCTCCACCAACTTATAAAATTCTCTAGAATCTTCCCTCTCACAAACCTTTGGAAATATTGAATTAATTTTTACTATTTTACTTAGTGATAAGTGATCAAATAGTCAAATCATTTATTCTTTCACAATATATATTTTTGAATCATATCATTTGTCAAAACAAAGTTATCAAATTATTTCTTGATCAATGTAACTTTTCATGTACTCTATATTTTTAAAATTGTCTAGTATAAATTTATTGTCTAATTTTCTATCGTAGCAATAATTGAATAATTAGTTTGAACACAATTTTATATCGCAATTCCATCCGGAATATTAGCTATGAATGACTGAAGTAATAATTTAAATAAATTTTTTTATTGATGTTTTTTAATATGACACTAAAGAAAGACGTCCTCTCTGACGAGCATGAACAACGACGGGTGGCGATGCTATGTCGTCAATTTCCGTTCAAACTCCTTTTCAATCTTCGTTCGTCAATTCGCCTCTTATAATTCAAATTATATGTACAACCGGTTATACGATATAATTTGTGAATCTAGGGACAAAGAAATTTTATAAATAAAAAATTAAAATTTTACATATTCAAAATAAGGACCGAACTGGATTTAGACTATGCTAATAAGACTATCTAGCTAGTCACAAAAGGTATCTATTTTTTATGACAACCGAGCTAGTATGGTGAAATTCTAAAATAAAGGACTAAACTGATTCTGTTTTACATAGTACTGGGCTTTTTAAGAGACCCATCTGATTGGTCTGGTGTGGCCTTTTGCTCATCACTAGTTGGAACTAGAGGTGTACAAAATCTAGATTGGACCAAAAAATCAGACCGAACTAAACCTAAAAAAATAGTTTCGGGGTTAGACTGGTAACTTCCAAACTGGTCTCTGGTCTAAAGGTTAAGGACCAGTGAAATTCCGATCCATGACCAGATAGTTTCCGGGTCAGACCGGTAAGACTTGAATATAATTATTCTATTTTTAAAAATTCTAATACCCTTGAAACAGAGTATGTGATTATAAATACAACTTTGTATTTTATTTTGTTTTTCTTTTTCTTACTTTAATACAGAGTATAGTCTTTTAAATGTAATATGTATTTTTAATTCATTTTCATTATTTTTTATAATTATAATCATTGACCTTTACCCAAGAATCTCCATAATTATATATAAATAACTAAAATCATTTTATAAAAATTGAAGTATAGTGTTTCGATTTTAGAGTATTAGATACTCTGACGTGTAACTTATTCTTGCTAAAGATGAAATACTTTAAAGTACAACTTTATAATACTTTGAAATCCCACAAACTACGAAAGTATAAAACTCATTTTAAACTTATCATATTATGGATATAAAAGTAGGAGTATGGTTGAAATCAAATCAAATCCAGCTACATTGTTAAAAAAATAAGTTAAAAAAATGTGATAAAAAATTTAAAAAAAATTCCAGGTTTTTTATTTTTAATTGGATCAGACTAGAAAAATAGGTTCAGGCTGATCCGGACCTAAGTCTAACAGGTCTGGTTTTCAGTCCTATACTTTATATGATTTTGGTTTTTTGGTTTTTCCGGTTCAGGTCCGGTCGATTCTGGACCGGTGTACCCCCAAGTTGAAACTTGAAACACATCCATCCCCCTCCGTTCGAGCCAAACACGGTGTAAAGTAGGTGTTGATACGTTGTCCGTGGCGGATCCTTTGGTGCCACTTTAAAAGTGAGTGTTTTAAAACACTTCACATGTGGCCCAATGAGAAATAGACAAGTGGAGATAACTTCCACATCATTTAAACACTCAAACTATTCTTGTTTATTCTAATTAGCCCCAATCCTCAATTAAATTATTTTGCTTCTTTTCCACCGTTTCCATCACACGGTTTCATCATCTCCGTTATTTTTTTTGGAACCGTCTCCACAACCGCAACCTTCCGTTTTCTTCTTTCCATGTTTTTCGTTTTTTGTTTTGAATGTAATTTTCTTTTTAGATTTGTGTTGCTATTTGTCATTTATTTCTTTCATTATTTATCATTCTTAATAAATGATCACATGTTCCCAAATAAACTACCATTTATGATTTACACCATTTGATAAGAATTATTTTTAATTTTATTTATTTGATATGCAGTATAATTTTATTAAAAAAATTAAACTTTTAATAACTATATATAAAATGTGAAATTTTCATTCCTTACATTTAAATAACTATGTTTGTCTGTGCGAAGCATGGATACACTCATGGTAGCACCCATGTGGTAGCACCCTAGCATGGTCCTATAAACAAACTCAAGCAACTTGATATAGGCATAGTTTTAAAAACCGGACCGGACAGGCCGGTTCGGACCGTGAACCGGCAAAACGGTGGTCCAACCGGTCCGGTCCGGCCCAATGGACCGTGATGAGCTTCGAACCGGTCCGAACCGGCTTGAACCGGCCGGTCGGACCGGTCAGACCAGTTTTTTTTTTTTTTTTGGAATTTTTCCAAAACTTCACTCCATGGAGGTTCGAACCCAAGACCCCTTTGCTATTTGGTTGAGTTCCTAACCACCCAACTAACAGTGCTTGTTGTTTTAGATTTTTATAATTTTTTATAATATTTCATAATTAATAAAAAGATTGCATAAAAATCCCTTTTCAATTTTAAAAATATAATGTGTAGTAGTTATAGCTATGAGTTAAACACAAAATCATTAATATTTTTTAAAATAAAATTTTAATACTATTTTTTAATATGTAAATTTTTTCTTTTAATTTAGTAAAATAACTCAAGTATATTAATACAAGTATAATTTTAGTCAAATATTATAAATTACTTTCTTTATGTATTTATATATGAGAATGTGTGTGTGTGCATATATATATTTATGTAATTTTTAAATATGTTTAAACCACCGGTTCGACCAGTTAAACCACTGGTTCGACCAGTGAACCAGTACCTTGACCGGTTCGGTCACCGGTCCCGTTCTCAAAACCATGGATATAGGTAGAGGGGATCCGCAGTTGTCCGTTGTCGTATGTGGTGGCAACCTAAGAATTACTCCGGTAAGAATTAGGAGTAATGACCAGAGATGGCAATTCTAGCAACACTGCCGGGCTTCGACCTCTTCTCCAATCTCCCCACCACCGCGCCGCGGCAGTCTCCCGGCGACCCCCGCCACCGCAGTACGCCGCCGCCAAATCCCCCCATCCCCGTTCCCGAATACCCACCTCCTCTAAGATCCCAAAAGCGTCCGAACAACGAACAAAAACCTCATCAGAAGCCCAATCAGATCCCGGCCTTCTCGATCGCCACTCTCACCTCCAATTACCGGAAACCCGTTAAGCCCGGCGAAGTCATCTCGGCCGACGGCGATCGCGCCGTCATCGTCGGCGAGTCTGGCGTTTCCTACCGCCTCCCCGGCGCCCCATTCGAGTTCCAGTACAGCTATTCCGAGACGCCTAAGGTCCAGCCGCTGGCGATCCGGGAACCGGCTGTCTTGCCCTTCGCGCCGCCCACCATGCCTCGACCGTGGACCGGAAAAGCTCCGGCCAAAAAATCCAAGCGGAATATTAAACTCTTCGGGCCATTGGATCCCAAAGATGGAAATGATACCAAACAATATCACTACGAAATGTTGAAAGCTTATGAGCTTGGGAAGTATAGGGTGAGGCCGAGGGATGAGGTATTGGGGCCGCCATTAACAAGAGATGAAATCAAAGAACTTCTGCAACCTCGAATATCTAGTAACAAACAGGTTAATCTTGGTTAGTATGTTTATATTACTGCAATTTCCCTTAATTTGTTTGAAATTGTAGAGCTTTTTTTGAACCCTTGTTTTATCTTCTACAATTGCTTATGATTGAATTAGTATTCGGCCCGCTGTTGACAAGCTTTATCCTATGTGTTTTATTGATGCATTGAGGGGGCGAACAGGGCGGGATGGATTAACACACAACATGTTGGAGTTGATACATACTCACTGGAGAAGACTACCGGTTTGCAAAGTACGGTGTTTGGGTGTCCCGACTGTTGATATGGACAACATATGCCGCTGCATTGAGGTTGTTTCGTTTATTCGTACTCCTGGCATAGATTATTATTCCATCGTGCTTTCAAAACACACGGTTTGATGAACGAACTTATTATAATTATTACTTTTGTGGGATTTCATTGGCTTCTTGTTGTTGTTGCTATCAGGAGAAGACTGGTGGAAAAGTAATTTATCGAGTTGGTGCTGTGGTTTATGTTTTTCGGGGGAGGAACTATGTTCATCATCTCCGTCCACAGTTACCAGTGATGCTATGGAAACCAGCTGCACCGGTTTATCCAAAGCTTATACAGGAAGCTCCACAAGGACTAACCAAACAAGAAGCCGATGAATTTCGAGAAAAAGGGAAAAAGTTGCTCCCTATATGTAAATTAGGTATTCATGTTGCTATGTTTTCTTATCAGATACTCCATCTGTTTGTCCGGAAGATTTTTCTATAAAAAAATATACATCTTCGTTTGGCATTAACATTAGTGTTTTGAAAATGTTATTTAATGGGTAGGTTTTTGCATTTTCATGGTTAACCTGTGCTATTAAAAATTTGTTCCCAAACAAAGCCAACATTAAATTCTATGAAAATTAGTTTCTTATGTCATGTAGGATTCCTTTTTAGGATTGATAGGATTTAGGATTGGGAATGGGTCATTCTTGGAGCTCCAATATTAATCTTTCCCCCCCAAATTGAAAACTTTTTACTGCAATGTCCCTGGGAATCTTTGTGCATTTTCTTACTACTATTATCCCTTTATCCGGATACCTAAAACACATCAAAAAAGAAGGGGAAAGTAGAAAGGTTTTGTGCATGCCCTCGCGACGAGCTCTTACTGTACTTTTTTAATAAAACATCCTTAAAGTACTGACCCTAGTGAGATTCTTTTCTAACCAACATAGGCAAAAATGGGGTCTATGTTGACCTTGTGAAGGATGTAAGGGATGCCTTTGAAGGGTCTCCATTAGTGAAGATCGATTGCAAAGGGTTGCACGCTCGTGACTACAAGAAGTTAGGCGCCAAGCTAAAGGTTTGTTTTCAATCATTTTCTCCAACTCATGCAGTGGAAAATAAGTCTGTTGTATGGTCTCGGTAACAGAGAGGTGTCTTTTTTTCAACCACATCGGCTCTAGTTTTCATTTCTTCGTTTGGCAGGATTTGGTACCGTGTGTGCTGTTATCATTTGATGAAGAACAAGTGCTGATGTGGAGGGGAAATGATTGGAAGCCGAGACACAAAAATTATTCCCATATTCGTGTTGCTGATGATACCGCCTGCTTAAGATCTCCAGGTAAAAGAACGGGGAAATGGTTGTTTTGCTCCCTCTTAATTATTCTTGTTAAATAGATTATAGACTTTTTTGCCCTGGATTCTTTTAATGACGGCGAACCACATTGTTATGATATTTTCAGGAACTAGAAGTGAAGTGAGCCCGAGAATGGCAACCCTTTGGCAGAGAGCGGTTGATTCAGGAACGGCATTGCTGCTAGATGAGATAAATCTTGAACCCGATGATCTTTTGAAGAGGGTGGAGGAATTCGAAGGCACTTTGCAGGCCATGAATCGCTCATACCCTATCGATACATTTGGTGGTGGCAGTGGCGGTGGTGGTGGTGATTCGGACGGGGAGGATCTTATCAATGATGACTTGCTTGACGTTGTCCCGGAATCTGAACTCCCGTTCGGGTCTTTACCCATTGATGCAATAGTTGAGCAGTTTAGTTAGAACATCTGTCAATGGTGTCATTGTGTTGTTATGTTAGTTATTATCTCCAAGTATGAGTTTGTGTGCTGAGGTCTGTATAAAGGATTGGGGGCAATAGATAGATCCATGAACAAAAATGTGTTCTTGTAAATAGGGAAATCTTTGGAGTACAATCTTCATTTTGAATGAAATTTTTACTGAAATGAATCTAATAGGATTGAACAAAAGGGAAAGTCAGAAAAAATTAGTTCCAATGACTATTTTTTTTAAATAAATTACTCCATTTGTCTCATACTTAATTTCTAGCAAGCAATTTCATGGTTTTTAATAAAGTGTAATTTTTTTTTTCTTAGAAAGAAAGTACAAAAAGATGATCATGAGATGAACGGACTATGTGCTAAAACGAACTAAAATTTGGTGAACTCGAAATAAGTTAGAAAGTTAAATTTATATTTCTAAGCACTTGCATGTGTCTTAGATGGCATTGTTTTGAATAATATAAATAATCTAACATAAGATTTCTTATTTTTTTTTCGAGAAAAAAATATCTTGTAACTGTTAAATTTTTCATAAGGTTGCAATTGATATCTAGGAATTGCAGTACATTATACCCCCTCCGTCCTATAATGTTCTTCCCGATTCTGTTTACGAAGTTTGACCGACTTTATTTTCAATTCAATTTATATGATTGTAGATGTAAAATTAAAAAATAAAATTTATATTTTTAAAAACTACATCAAAAATTATACAAAAAAAGTGGTGACAAGACTATATTATTTTATCAAATACCTAATGAAAATAGGTAACTAAAGTGATTAAAGTTTGACCGTGTAAAAAGTAAGTGAGAAGAACATTTTAGGATGGAGGGTGTATATGTTTTTCAAATTAAAATCGGTTAAAAGACATACACAACAAACACACGTCACAACCCGACCTTAGCTCAGTTGGCAGAGCGGAGGACTGTAGTATGAAAGCTGATATCCTTAGGTCGCTGGTTCGAATCCGGCAGGTCGGAACCCTTTTTATTTTTTTCCCTTAAAGTTAATCTAATTATTCTTTTTTACCTTTTTGCAATTTGAAAACTCATCCGCGCCAAAATCCAAAACAATTAAACTTTTCTCCCTGTCT